CGCTACCTGTGAATAAACGTCGTTTTGGGTTTGAAACTCTTCTGGTAAAGTTACCTAGAAGCAGCCACACTTTGTATGGAGACGCCATGTTGGTGCTCTTCCGAGGGGCACCAACATGCCTCGTGGCGGCCGAAAGTAACAGAAACATCTGTCATTAAGTTTTGCCATCGAAACGAAAAGGTATTACTCTGGAGATCCGACACATTGAATTTAATACTTCTTATAGAGCAAGAACTATTTAGGTGGTAAAAACGTGAGCAATAACTCATCTTTGGACCTAATCGAGAGCCCTATGGGGCTGCCATTCAATGTCACGCAACGCATAAACTTGGAAATTCAAACGTGCTCTGTAACAAAATGAAGAACCCTATCGGCCTTAAACGTTGCAAAACGTCAACTTATTAGAGGGTCTTACATGTGATGAATCTAAAACTTCAAAAGGATTGTTAATTTTTTATTTTGGAAAATGATGACGTCACGTGAAAGCCGAGAATAATAGATTTTGACACTTTGTTTACAAAATAAATACCCCTCCTGCTGACTGTGCGTGTTTCTATTTTTAAAGAGCTTTCGGTTGTCATTAATACAGCCGATCGTGAAATCGACCACGCAGCTCTCGGAAAAAAACTGTGTTCACTGCTTCCGTAGCTGTACATTTCGAATATTGAACTCCCTTTCAGTGTATTGAAATTCATTTCCGCTTTGTACTATCAAAGCCTCGGCGTGTAAAATCACTCAGGCAAAAACAAAAGACGATGTCACCGTAACAAACTTCCCTAAATAGAAAAATCGAAGATGTCATGAATAAAGAATTCAGGTTACAAGTCTATTTTTGTATCAAGTTAACTTTTTAATTCTCTTGCTTGAAGTTTGCTTTCGGCTCCTTTCAGTGACATCGAAAATAATCCTTTCCAATTCGTACAATTTTCGAACCTGCGCACATGCGAAACTACTCAGAGACCATTTGAAGGGTTTCTTTTAAACAGCCGCGACAATATTCAAACTCTGCTGGCGACATATATTTACGAGTGACACTCTCAGCAGCTTTTCTTTTCATGTATTTTCTAAACCAACCAACGACCCCATAGAAAGTGCAGTATATAATTGTTCTGAAACCCGCAAGCACGCGAAAGTACTAACGGTTTGAGTTTAACTGACAATTTAGTAAGCGACAACGTAGTCGTGTAAGCATCACCACTAACAAGTATTAAATTTAGTTGATTGCGAACATGGTGTGTGTGTGCTTGTGGGTTTGTGTTTAAAAAATAGTAATATACAGAATTTTAAGGTCCTTAATTAGTCTTACTATATTGTGCCCTTCTCCGTTTCTAGCTTTATTTAATGTCTTTAAATATCATTACAGAAAGATATCTTGTAACATAATAATGACTTTGTAATAAGAAAAAATATCTTCTTTAACAAATAAACTAGACGCTCTAAGAGCGTTTACTCGGGCTTCGTACCACAGTATCAAATCGTACTTTACGAAAACGCGTATTGGACACAACAAAAGCAAATTAAAGAATCAGGATATTTTAGCACAAGAGTTCCGCTTAGATATTTACTATTCAAGTTGCTTCCGTGAGTATCCTCCTCATCCTATCGCAAGTTGTGAGTTTAAACCATTTTGGTTCAAGAATGAAGCACAGTTGTCTACGCATTGATGGAGAAGTTGTTTGCAAAGAATTTTCGAGGTCTGTTTACAACTTATGGCGATTACTTTGTACATGCTAGCAGAAATTGTACGAAGTTGGTTTACTGGTCGTGGCGATCCGAGTAAATTGTGTAGCTGAACATCTTTGCCGTGTTGTGATCTTAAACGCTTTTCAGGAGTCATATGTCCTTTGGAGAGCGAATAATCTCTTTCGAGAGAGCCAAAACGAATCATGATAAACTCCTTCGCGAAAACAACAGTCCTGTGACTAGGCTTAAACTGCATTGCACATTATTTGCATAAACTTTCAGGTTGTGTATTTTGCGGATAACTTCCAAGAGTTTGCGACTCTTAACGCAGTTTATGAAGAAATATTCAAGCTACATACTTTTATTGAATCAGGGCAGGAGTAATTTTAAAAAGGACTCCCATTTATAAGGGAAGATGCGGCATTCTGCTTTGCTATTTATTTTGGTTTCATGCTGGTCTAGTTCATGTCATGCAACATGATTTTCTTTTGCAGTCAGACACAGTTTTCTAAAAGAATTGGCGATTGCTAATTAAGACTGCTAAATATATTTGAACTTCTAGTGAAATAACTGGCTAAACTATCGTCAATGCAGATTTTCCTTAGGACTTGGCAAGAACATTGGTTCGTCAATAATCCCGAACAATTCCCCACGCAATCGAAGGTTTAATTCTCCCGCACAATGTGCCTCCAAATTCACACGTTATTTTTTTTCGTGCACCCTACTAGAAAGCCAACTAACTTGGAGGTAAGATATCTAATTCAAGTTACCGAAAGTCTTATCTTTACATCTTTGGAGATCGACATATTTTGCGAGGTGTAAGAAACAAGTCGCATGTTTTTAATGAGCTCCGAGTCCAAAAACGTTTTCGTATTTAGCTCGTTTTATTGCAGTTTGATTTGTTTTACTGCAATGTTCTAAATAGTAACAGCAGTAGCCACATACCGTCATTGACTGCCTATTTTTTGCCAGTGTTTTCGTAGATTGAACTCATA